ATATTCTCTCTCTCTCTCTCTCCCCCCCCTCCCAGGCTTATTTCAAACTGGTAAATATCTAATTCCTTTAACTGCTGCGCCGCGCACGCGAATCTTTTAGGTACAAACGCCTTGAAACAGCCAGTGCGCGGCGGTGCCCGGAGGAGAGCACGCAGCCCGAGCGCCCTCGCAGCAGGGGACCCCACTCGGCTCAGCCGAGCCGGCGCGCGGGAGGCTGCACCTCCATCTCGGAGCCCAGCCTCTCCCGCGGCGCCCCGGGGACCCTCGCCCGAGGCTGCCCGCGGAGTCCCACAGGCAGGGCCTCCCTGGCGCGCGGCTCCCGGCACCCCCCCCCCAGCCCCCGACGGCTCCCCCGGCTCTCCGGGGCGGATGTTACGCTGCGCTCGCCTGCTCTCCCTTGTTTAAAGTTTGTTTTCTAAACGTCTTCTATTAGATTATGCTCGTTCATTCCCCCTCCAACCTTATCTCCTTCTGTCTCTTCTCTCCTGGCCCGTCACACTCGATTTAGGCACGAGTTTATCTGGCAAACAGTTTGCCGACTTTGTTTACCGCGGGTGGCGGGGCGGCTCGCGCGCGAGCGCCAGTGTTTGCCTTTGTAATAGTTATCTCCTTATTGTTGGTGCTCGTCAGGCTCGGCTCCCTCCTCCCTCTCTGTTCTTCGGCTGGGGGGACGGAGGGAAGAAAAGGGGGAGTCTGGTCGGCCCAGTGTGGGCTCGCCCCCTCGCCGGGAGCCTCCTCCCCCGGGATCCTCCCCGCCGCACCCCCTCCGCTCGCCCCAGCCCCCAGCCCCCGGCGGAGCCCCCGGCCCCTCCTCTCTCCCTCTGGTCTCCGAATCTCCTCCGCGGAGCTCTGCCTAAAGCCGGGGAATTGCCTGACACCCTCCCATCTTCCTCCAAGCCCCCATTATGCGAAGCTGATCCCACTCGGAACGCCTCAAATCCCGCCTGGACTCTGTTTGATTAGATTGCCAACCCGGGGTAATCCTTTGATTTGGTGGAGTGTCAATTACCTTTCTCTAAACACACATTTACAGAGGAGTGAACTTGTTGGTTTAAATCAATGCAGATCGTTTCCTGATAGATGGACTATCTTCGTCCCCTCACTCACCCCCTTTTCCAAGGTCCCTCTCCCTCTCCCGCCCCTCCCTTAGGCCTTCTCACCCATCCCATAAACAATGTCCCTTCCAGGTGTGAAGGCGAAAAAGCAGTGTGGGCTGAGGGGAACGGGGAACGGTGCCCCCCTTCCCCTATTCATTCGCTCCCCCGGAGCCTAATTAAATTTGGCAGGTCCTTGTACACACAATCAAAACAGCTTCCTCCAGTGTAGCAAACGACCGAAAACCGCATTAGCAGCCATCGCTGCTGCCAAATTAAATTGTTTCCCACCTCCTTTTACAAGTGTCTAAAACCCACACTCCGGGCTCTCCCCTCCTTTCTGATCTTTTCCCCCTCGTCATTTCCCACTCCACACCTGTAAATTCACTGCCTTAAAAATGAATTGAGGAAAAATGTAAAAACAAACAAATCTGGCTTACACACCCCCTGGCATCTCCCCCACCTCCAAAGGCCTTTAAGCCTAGGAAATGTGCAGACTCTCCTGCTGGACTCTTAACACCCCTAGGTTTTTCTGGCCACAGAGGAAAAGGATGCCTCCTTCTCCTTTAACTTATTTCAATATTTTAAATTAATTGTAACCCCACTGGGCTTTCTACCCTAGAGACCAATATGGAGCCCCACGGTGGGATCCGATCCGTTAGGGTTTCAATTTATGCATTGCAGGATGCCTGAGGCTTTGGTGTTCTTATTGTTTGTTACTGTTGCTATTGTTATTTACATTATTGCTTATTTCTTCACCTTCTCTCAGCTCCTAGGAGTAATGGTTTGGCCCTTTGTAAGCCCCTATCAAATTCCACTTGAGAATCTCTGTGCGCTCGGATTCTGGGAAAATCTTTTTCTTTTTTCTTCCCTTCTTAGATCCTCTCTTTGTCAGCTCTCTGGACTGATCCTTGAAGATGGGGATGAAGAGGCGACAGTCTAAGTGGACAGGGGGGCAGAGCTGTCCACTCTGTCCACTTCCCTCCAGGTGAGCCGGGCTTGACCGGTGCCCCTACCGGCAGTGGTCTGAGAATTCTCACAACCAACAATCCTAATAACTCAGTCTTAACAAGGATAAGAGGAAGGAAAAAAAAAAAAAAACATGAACAGTCTCATGAATATCAGCCCAAGGGGAGCAAGAGTGAGCTGTTCAGAGATGAAAGTGCACAGAAATAAAAGCTCAATTTAATCTGCTTTAAAACCCTTCAACTTAACGTTTGTGCTTCAAACTCTGAGAGTGAGGACTGATTGCGGATAAATAGTTTCTTACCATGCCTGGAAGCTATTACACCCCTCTCCAACACAGTTTCCTATTCAGCAGCCCCAGTTTTCATTACCAGCTCTAATAAGTCTTAACGTTATTAAATGCCAAGCGGACGATAGGGAAAAACGGACTCAGGGAGGGATCTCTCTTTAGCGTTTAAAGAGGAGAGCTCTTAAACCCCTTCTTTGGCGGCTCCCTGCCATGAGAGGGGCAACCCCTGGAGAAAGCATTTGTCAAGAGCAAGAAGCCAAAACAAAGTTGTGGGTGTGCACCCTTCCCCCTGCTCTGCCCACGGGGCACCTCTGCCTCTCCGCACCTGGACCACTTGGGTGGAGGTTCAGAGGTCTTTTCCCCTTTAACCTGGCCATGAAACTGGTGTCTAGGGTCTGGGAGAGAGATGAGAGGTTGTCAGGATGATTGCTGACCAGTCCCCACGCTCCAATTGGAAACGGTTGCTATTTGTCCACAGATGGACAGAGACCTCTTTCATCACAGTGCTTTCGCACACCCACCTACGATCACACTACACACCACACAGAATCCCACGGGCACGGAAGTGCAGCTCCAAAGGCGCGAGTCACATGGAGAGATGTACGCACTTCCGAGTCTGTCACCCAGCACGATTCCAGCCACCATGCCCCCCACACCCATCCTCGCTCAGAACCTGAAGGGCTTTTGGGACACCGGACCTGCTGCACGAGGCCGTTTCATTTCTGAATTCCTCAGAATGCACCTGTATTCTCAGCCTCCCCACTCGGAAACTGCTGGGCTCCTCTTCAAACCCTTGGGAACGTGGAGCTTTCTGGCTCTCTTGCCAAGAAGGAAATCCTCTGTCCATCGGAGTTGCCTGTTCCTTGGGTTTATCACCCAGGACCAGATCTTGAAACCCTCAAATTCCCTTGAATCAAAGGAATCATCCCAAACCACGTGTCCTTTTCCTTTCTCCTCTCCTTTTATTCTTTCTCAGAGGAACTTTACCTATTTGTGCTTCCAGCAGAGTAAACTGTATGTACCCTTCACACACACAAGAATCTGAAGTCTTCCCAAATAAATCCAAACCTACTTTTCTCCTTTTTCTACTCCTGGGGTAACTGAGAAGAGGTGTCTGGTCTGTAGTATTTGTCAGGGGAAAGTATTCAAGTTCATGTTCCCCACTCTTTGTCACTCACGTTCAAGTCCAGCTAGTCTCTGGCTAACAAGAACTGATATATGCACTGGGTGCCTCACAGGCTGGGGGTCTGGGCCCACTTGCCAGGCCAGGGCTCCTTGGCAGTGCAGGGCTGCCTCCCGGGCAGATCCCAGGCTCCTTGGCAGGCCGGCACAGCGGGGTGCCAGCCACAGTGGGCTCCCTTTCTTCCCTCGCCCTTTTGTCCCAGGAGGGACTGTGGCTGCACTAGGGGCCATGAATGTCAATAGCCCGCCCCTTCCCCAGCTCAGAGCTGCTCTCACTTGGGGCTGCCTGCCCCCAACCCCCATCCTTCCCACTCCATCTAGGCTGATGGGGGCTGGGCCTCCCTCGCTGGGATTTGTCTTCGGAAGCGGGCTTTGTCCGAGAGAAGTTCATCTTCAAGGTTGGGAGGAACTACCCAGCACAGGAGAGAGACCTGGGCTAGGAATGCTGGGGCACACACAGGGAGGAACCCGGAGAAGCCCCTGGAAGGAGAAGCATTCCCCCACCTTCTCCAAAGTCTCTGTCCACCACTTCCCTGCGTCTGTTCCTGGGCCTTCTTTCGTGGGTCAGTCTTTGTGGCTTTAGTTCTTCTAATGTCACTTGTCCCCACGGCCCCATGTCACATACAAGAAGTCTCAAAAGCGAGCTGCACAGGGAGGAGGTGAGGAAAGACTTGCCTTTCCTCCTCTCCACACTTTCCCGATGGGAAACAAAAGCAAGTCCCAGTCCCCAGCAGGCATGCAAGTGCTTGAAAAATAAACGCTTTCCTCAGATCCGAGGGAGAGCCAGGCTCTGGGCTCGGCCTCAGCCCGGTGCAGAAGCCGCGCTCAGGGAGGGGAGAGGGTGTGAGGCAGGAATGTGTGCCCCACTGGGACCCGGACCAGTGAGCTTGGGAACTTGGCCTCACCAACCCCACCCCGCCTGAAAACGCCAAAGAGGGAAGCACCCCCCCAAGCCCCCACCCCGCCCTGCCGAAGCGGGGCCGAGTCAGGCAGCGGTCCTGGCTAATTTTTATTGATTGCAGCGGTCAGTCAACTGTCAGGCAGGGTTTCAAGGGACCGTTTAGAGAGCCCGTGCAGGTCTGGTTAACAAATTCATTTAGGGACCCGCGGGCCGGCTCCCGGCCCCCCCCCCCAGTTTCCTATAAATAATTGATGGACACTAGGACTAGCAGCCAAAACGCCAACCGGAGGACCTGCGCCCCAGAGTAGCCTGGGCGCGCGCTGAGGCCGCAACGAGCGAGCAGCACACGACGCGCTACCCGATCGGCCCAGCTTCCACGCTCAGTGTCGCGCCCGGTTCCCGTCCTGGGGTTGCACCTAGGAGGCCTGGGAGGCCCAGGTCCCGGGCCTTCCACTTCTCGGCTCGAAGCCTGGCCGCGCCGTTCTGGGAAGGCGGAGGGAGGCACGGGCCAGCGCGTGGAGTGTGGGAAAACGCCGGCTCCGCCTCGCCCGCCCCTGCTGTTCCCTACCTTTGTCGCCCAGGATGCCATCGATGCTATGTTTGGCCTTCTTCTCCCCGTCGTCCTCCTTCTTGTCCGCTTCGTCATCCTCCTCTTTCTTCCCGAACTTGATTCTGAGCACGCGGCTAATCGAACTCACTAAACCTCAGAAATTCAAAGGCAAAAGAGCCAGTATAAGTTGTTGGGGGCAAAACAGCCCGCAGTGGCTTGGACCCCTGAGTTAGTCATCGTGTCCCCTCCTCCTCACTGACACAAGAATCACCATCCCCGTGCCGGCATTCAGCAAGTGCGCCTACTCAAGTAGTGAGACTTAGGAAAGCCTAGTCACACCTGAGGGTCACAACTGGGGTTACTCCTTGGCTCTCACAGAGCCAAGAGCCAGGCAGAGGCACCCACCTCACCCATTGCTATGCACACCCTTACACACTCCCGTGCCTTGCAGGCGCGTGCGCAGCTGCTCTCCCTTCCAGGGCTGCATGACTGGGGAGCTTCACATCTGGGACGCTCTGCTAGAAATGGTGAGGACGTGGAGAAGGGGAAGCCCATGCATCTCAGCCTTCCCAGGGCAGGTTCCTCTCCCCAGGCCACTTTGCCCAGAGAGCTCCTGGGGCCTGGTTCCTTTTTTCACCCAACCTTCTAGCTTTTTGTCTTCCCTCCCTTCCTCCCTCCTTGTATTTCTCCCTCCTCTTCTCCTTCCTGCTATCCTTCCTCTAGCCCTTCTGCTTCCCTTCCTTTCTTCCTTCTCTCCCTCTCTCCTAACTTTGTCTCTCCTCTCTTTCCACTTTCCTGTTTTGACTCACTTTCATTCTCTCTGTGCTTTCTTGCTTCCTTTGCCTCCCAGTTTTTCTCCAGGGCTCCTGTCAGCCATCCTCTGTCCTCCTCCTCCTTCTCCTCCTCCTCCTCCCTCCAGCACACCGAGCCCCACTGGACTGGCTGAAGCACCTCGGCTCGGGCTGTCTTCTCACCTGAGGGCACTGTGCTGCGGTCGCAGTGGCCATCCTTCAGCAGCCGGTCCCGGATCTCCCAGCTGAACATGCCCGGGTTTTCCCTCTTGTACTCCTCGATCTTTTTCTCCACATCCGGAGTCGCCACCTGCTTCAGAGGTGGAGGCAGGAGAGCAGGAGTGGAAAGATGGGGCAGGGGAAGGAAGACACTTTTAATATCAACCTCCCAAGATCCCAGGCTGGTCACCATAGCTCTGGTCACCATATCCCCCAAGAATGCCCCTATTCTTTCAAGAAACCCCTTTCTGGCTCCTAGATGACAGGTGAGGAGAGGCAGGGAGAGATAATAAAATAAAACCTGAATAGGAGCCCCGGGGCTCACGACCACCACAGGCAAGACTTGGAGATTTCCCAAGGTCCAGCGTGGTGGTAGGGAATTTGGGCCAGGTGTAGGGACAGTTCCCAGACATGCCTCATTGGCCTGCAGGTCTGGGGCAGCCTAGACTACAATTATCCTCATCTCTGAGAAATTCAAATAGTGAGAAAATAGTGGGGACGCACTGGGAGTTGGGACTCTCTCTCTGTAATCTCTCCAGGAAGCCTAAAGACACCCTAGTGCTGCTGAATGACATAGGGTGGTGACAGGACTGAAGCCGAGGGCCCCCAGCCCAGGGCCAGGCCTGCTGCCAGCCTCTGTGGCAAAGACACTCACTCTGGGCTTGCTGCCTCCGATGGCTCCAGGCCGGATGGACCCGGTCTCCTGGTAGCGGCAGAGAATCTTGGAGACGCAGCCGTGGGAGACTCGTAGCTGGCGGGAGATAACGCAGGGTCGGATGCCATGGTGGGCCATCTCCACTATCTTATGGCGGATGTGGTTTGGCAGGGGTCGGCCGTTGATGAACACCCCGCCAAGCTGATTGACCCGGCCTTGTCCAAGTGGGGTGGACACTGAAGAAGGGAGATGAAAATGGTGAGGGGGACAGGGTAAGGGCAGGAAAGGGGAGCTGGCTGCACTTTCAGACCACAGCAGTTCAAGTCCCAAGCCCCCTGAGAGCAGATCTCCCGGCTCCTCAAATTTGAGGCAGTTTCGGTAGTTTAGAGTCTGGGAGACGACGGTCTGAAAGCCACATTGCACACAGCCCCCACCTCCAGCCCTATGGCCCAGGACCAGGACACGCCTGGGGGGCCTGAGTGGCCCTGAGCAGAGTGAGGATCTCTGGGGGAATGGCTCTTGGTCCCTCAGGTGGAAGCTTGGGCCACAGTTCTGCCTGCCTCTCAGATAGGCCAGGGACTTGGGGAGAGGCAGCCCATCGATTCCATTGCATACTCCCAGTAGTCGTGACTGATCCAGTTCATGGGTGACTGGGAAGTACTGGTTGATTAGTACCATTTACAATTCTGGCTTGAGCAGGCGAGGGATCCTACCCAAGGCTGGACAGCCCAGGCACAGTTCTGGGACCACTGACACCCTCCGGCGGCTGCTGCCACCTCTTTGGGGCACCTCATTTGTCCCCAGGGGGACTCCCTTTACTTCCAACCACTCTCAAAGTTTTAATTTCGTTTTGGGACAATTTGGGGACACACCCCACTGTCAGTAATCTCCAAAATACCCCACTTGGTCTCAGAAATCCATGCACTGTCCTTGTCCTCTGAAGGCTCTGCTCACTAAGCCGGGCCAGAGTCCCAGGGTGGGGGTGACTTTGGGAACCAGAAGGCAAGCGCGCTGGCGCGTGCGGGAGAGAGGAAAACGCACAGCTCGCTGCCTTAATGCAAAGTCTACACAATTTCCTCGCAGAGGGCTGGGGGCCACCCGATGCACTAATCCGACCTCGATCCCCCCAATTTGGGGACTCGGCGGCTGCGGAGATCTGGAAGATTAGAACGATTTCACAGCCGCCTGAGTGGAGGGAGCAGACAGTAATAATTGGAAGGGAGGAGGCGAGAAGCGGCCTTGGCTGCCGAGTTGTTCCTACCACCCCCTCCCTCGCTCTCCCGGTCCCCCCACCTCTCTTTGTAAAAGTAGGTGTATGAAGCCACCCTCGGATTTAATCAGAAATCGTGCGTCGCCAAGTCGGAGTCACTCGGGCTCCGTGTCGGGATATGCCATTAGCGCTCGAGAGCTCTAGAGCGCCCAACTTTATATTCAAGAGCCTCTTTAGCGACCGGCACTCGGCTCTCCTCAGTATTCTGCGTCATGTTGGGCAAATATTGTCCTAATCCGCCGCGCGTCCTCAGCCGCCTGTTTTACTAGCAGCGGCTACAGGAGGGTGCTACGGCAAATCCCCGGGCTCGGGCGCTCTCCGCCTGCGTGGCTGCTCGCGCGCACTTGATCACGCAGCCACTCTCTTCGCCTCTGTCTAATTCAGGGACCCGGAGCAGTCCCGCTGCCCGAGGGCCCCCTCCCCAGTCCGCAGGCAGCCTGCCCGCCCACCCCCTCCCCGCCACCTCTCCCCAGCCTCACGCACAAGGAGCTTATTACAATTACAAGACGGGTAATTAAAAAACAAAAAGTAACACTCGCATCTAAGGGGCTTCTCTACCACACCCTGGGCTATCTACCCCCAAGAGGCCGGTGATCCATCGGGGACCGGTTGGAGGCCTTCCTGGAGTTTAAAAAGAAAAGAGAACAAAAACCTCAGGAAAAGGTCTGGCCTTTCTCTCTGCTGCCGGGAGCCCGCTCGCGCCCTGCTCTCTGCGCTCTGCCCGGGCGCCGGATAGATAGTTGGGAAGAACACGTTGCAAAATTAACACTTTCCCCTGATTTGGACATTGTCCTACCCTCTTCCTGTTTTGGGGTCTTCTCTCGGGAGATCTGCAGAGTTGGGAAGCCCGGTCGAAAAGTTTTTTGGGAAAAAATATCGTTCCAATTGATTATTTCCAATTAGTTTCCAGGCCGAAAAGCCGGAGTGTTTTGAGAGTTGCTTTGGAAGAAGCGGAAACCTTCGTAGTTTAGGAATAGAAAGTATCACACATGGATGGGATTTCGAAATAAAAGGGATCGGAAGACCATGCTGGGAGGGTGGAAAGAACAATTCAGAACAAGCATAGAAAGCCCATAGCCGGTTAGCCCAGACAGCCGGGAAACTATCGGCAAAGAAGCGTTCTGGAAACAGTGGAGAGAGCTGAAACCCACCAGGAGCCGAAATCTACCTGGAGTCCACCCGCGGGGAAAGGCCAGCCGCTCCAGACCTGCGAAGCGGAGGCCGCCGGTCGCTGAAGCCCACGCAGAGCGCGCAAGTGTCGGCCCCCAAACTTCCTGGGTCCCGCTCCCAGACTTGGACCAGAAAGGAGGGGACCCCGCAGCTGCCGCCGGCGCACCCCACACCCCCTGGCGACTGCCGCCTCCGCGGACCTGAGCGTCGGGCGGCGGCCTGGGGCGCGGCGAGCCGGGCGCGCTTACCTTCCAGGGGGAAGCCCGTGCGGGGGTAGTTCTGCCCCGGGGCTGGCCGCATCATCCTCGGCACCGCGCCGGGGAGGCCCGCCATGCCTGCGCGCGCCGGCGACGGCTCCGGAGTAGGCAGATCGCTTCCCGTCGCTGCCTTTCCCCCTGCTGCGATCTTTCTTTCTTTCCTCCTCCTCCTCCTCCTCCTCCTTCTTCGTCTTCTTTTTCTTTAACCTCTTCCCCCTCCCCTCCAAGCGCGCTCCCTACCCCCCCCCCAACCCCGGCTGCGGGGCTGCGCGTCCAGAAGCTGGGGAGGGGGGTGAGCCAGCCGGGGGCGGAGGTTGGGGGCTGGGACGGTGGCGACGAGGAAGTTCAAACAAACACACACTCCGGCACCAAGTCCGCCTCCGCCGGCGCAGCGGGGCTGGAAGTTGTGCCCGCCGACGCGCCCGGGCGCAGCCGGAGACTGGGAGAGGGGCTGGGGGTCGCGGTGGGATCCGGCCCCCGGCCTCGCACAGGCGGCGGGCGGCAAGCTCTGGAGCTCCGGGGAGAAGTTCCCGAGCCGAGAGCCGCGGAGTTGATTTCTTTTTCAAATTTATTTATATATTTACTCTCCAGCGCTCGCTCCGGCTCCCTCCCCTTCTCCACGCCTTCGGTCCCCGCGCCCTCCGCGTCAGCTCTGCCGCTCACTCCGTCCCCGGGAAGACTCAAGGAGGGAACTGGAGCCTCCTCGGGTGTCGGGGCTCAAGGCGCGGGGGACAGGGAGTGGCTGGGTTGGGGAGAGAAGAGGAAAAGAGCGGGGGCGAGAGTGATCAGCTGGGCAAGTTGTGCGAAAGTGCTCAACTCAACTGTCCGAGAACGAAGCGGGGGGAGAAAGAGGAGGAAGAGCAGGAGGAGGAAGAGGAGGAGGAGGGGGAGGAGGCAGCCAAAGAGATCTGATAGGTTCGGACTTTTCTTTTATTCATGAGGAGGGAAGGGGGGCCTGGACGGAAGGGAGCGAGGGACCAGTAACGAAAAGAAATCCCCAAAGAATATTTTTTTCTCTTTTCTAATCCCTGGCTCGACCTCATTTTGGGGGAAAGACATTGAACTGCCCGTCGGGGAGCAAGGCCTTGGGAGCTGAGGACCCCGAGAGAAGGGGAGGGGACAACTTTCTCCATGAGTCTTCTTTTGATGATGGGCCAGAGTCGCCAGGTTCCCGGCCCCGGATCGCCCACGCTGCTCCTGCTGTCCCGTCTCTGCCGGAGCCACCGGGGTGGGTTGGGAGCTTCTCTGAATCCTACCCTTTTCTCCGGCTTCCCAGTGTAGGGTCCACTGTCTCTCACATCTTCTGCCTCCTCTGTTCACTCACTCCGAAATGTCCTCTGGTAGGACCCACCAGGAAAGGGCCGGGGTGACACTGAGGGAGGGATTACGACTGTGAAATGATGTCAGAGCCCTAGGTTCGGGTTTTTGTCTGACCTCCCGAGGTTCTAAGAAGCCCAGAGCCACCTTATCTGCATCTAATGCTCAGGTCTGCCCAAGGTTAGGAATGCTTTGCTTCCTTTCCCCCCTGGAGGGTGTGAACTGCCTTCTTCCCTTAGGCCACCTTGCCACAGCCCAAGACCTCTTTCCAGGAGGTAGTTGGGTGTCCCACGGCGGTGCAGCAAGGCTGTACTGAGGATTTGGGGTCCAAAGAGATGGAAGATGGCCGGGAGGGAGCCTTTACAACTTACTACCAACTCAGCTCCTCTGCCGGGGGGGGGGGGGGGGGGGGGCTGTCGGGACCCCAATTAGACTGTCAGGAGGGGGATTTGATCTCAAGTCCCACAACTCTGGGCTTTTGGAGGCCAGAGTGGTGAGCAGCCCCACACTCAGGACACGGATTCCTAGGGACGAAACGCCCTCCCAGCGGGGCAGGACGCCACATCGGCAGGCCTTTTGTCTCCCCCGGGAAAGAGCGGCTCTGGCCCAGAGCTGGAGGCAAAATACAAAACAATAAACCCAGGCCTCAAACTCCCCCCTTCTCGCCCTCTCCTGGAGGAGGGTCAGTCCCAGGTTGGCCCCGGGGTCTCTCTGCAGGCTGGCCCCAGTAAGTCCCCTCCCCTCCCCTTCTCACCTGTGACCTTTGCCCCTCTCTGCACGTGACAGACCATCTCTCCCGGCACCAGGGCTCATCAGACTTTTGGGGGGCTTCCCAGGAATGGAGCTTGGAGACCCTGCTGAGAGCCTTGTTAAACACAAGCTTCAAGAATTGAACAGGCAGACCAGGTAGTCCTGGCATTGGAAAAGTGAATTCAGGGAGGGGGGTACCTCGCTTGGATCTGGGTGCCAGGCTGCCGGAGTTATGGGGGCCATTCCCAAGAGAGATGGGGAGATAGAGCTTCAAACCTTGGCGTGTGTCCAGGGAAGGTGGTAACTTATTGTGCGGCTTGGCCTGCCTGGTCCCCCCACCCCAGGTGGGCATATGTTTCCTATGTGTGCATTGCATATTCATCCATTCATCCGGTAGTCACCAATTTCCTTCTGACAGGTTTTAGCCCCTCTGTGTTGTGGAATGGACCAGAGTGCTTAGGGGTGAATATGGGGGCCTAACCTGGCTCTGTAGGTGTTGGCCTGTCTGGGTCAGTCTGAGTAAATGTGGGTTCCTAAGTGGGAGTCTGCCTGTGTGTCCATTCTGGGGTCACATCCATGTTGCCTTAATGTGGCTCTTGGTGTGGGTTGGGCAAGTGTGTGTGTGTGTGTTTGGGGTCAGATTCCCGCCCCCCCAGCAAGAAGGGATTCCCCCAGATGCCCAGACCCCCAGATGCCCAGGCTGGAAGGCTCCTTCCCCTGCATGGACTTTGCAGCCAGCGCCCTTGCATCTCCCATCCCTGGGACTCTGGGAGCTGTGTCTTATGCTGGAGCCACCTTGCCCTCAGGGTGAACCCCCACTCTCCACATCAGAAGACACTGCAGCTGATCCAGTCCTGACCCAAGTGGGGCTCCCTGGCCACCAACCCTGTGCTCCCATAGCTTGGGGATTCCGTGGGCCCTGGTGGAGCTGCTTAGGGGGAGGAAGAAGGGTTGTCTGTCAGAATGAGCGTGGCGGTTCTCGCCTGTTGGAGACCAATTTCACAAATGATTTTTGCAACAATTAAGAAGTGTGGCGGGGTGAAATGGCGATTTCACATCCAGCAGGGGAAAGGGGGGTTCACCTGGGGACCGGGATGGCTGCAGCTGGGGTGGGGGTGGAGGAGAGGCTCTGCCGCTCCTCTCATTCCCCTTAGCTAACTCTCTTGCCCAAATTCACTCCCTGTGCAGTCATTAATCAGCTCTGAGGACCACCGTTTGCCTGTGTGAGGGAGGACTCCAGCCTGGTTGTCTGTGTTGGGCAGGATTTGCCCCGCAAGGATTTTCCTCCAGCACTTTCTCTACCTTTTTCCTCCCTTTCTCCCTCCCCCTTCTGTCTGTCACACACAAGTTTCCTTCTGTGCCTCTTTCTGCCTGATACCCTGTCTTGGGGTCTTCTCTGTCTTGGTTTTGGGGTTCCTCCTCTTCTCTCCCTTCTGGCCTTTTTGACTTCTCTCAGGGCCGTTTGGTTTCTTTCCGGTGGCTCTGTCAGTCTAGTCTGCCCTCCTCCCCATCTCCATGGTTTCCTGAGGTATGTACTGGCCTCCACTGCTCTCTGGGCTGGAACTCACACCCGAGTCCCACTGGGGACAATCTTTTAGTCAGGATGGGGCTGGGCCAAGACCTTGGGAATGGAGCCCCCTCCTCCTCCGCCTGTTCTAAAAGAGGATCTCTGGGCAGACCCAGCTCCCCCCAGGAAACACCCCATTCCAGAGGACTTGGGTAGCAGCCCTCTACCTCCACCTCTCCAAGCCTGCTCTGAAATCTCTGTGCACACAACCTTTTTCTTTGTTTAAAAAAGGATAATGATAATGCTCATAGAAAATTTTCCTCCAAATTGAATCCTCCAAACCCAATGGCAAAGAAGGAAACTGGCCTAAGCTGGAGGAGCAAGACCCCAGGTGGGGTGAGCCCCGGACCGGACCCGACCTGAGTGGCTCCTTCCCCAGACTGTGAATGGACAGGAAGTGCAACTTTTACTGCCAAACTGGAGCTCCTTTCTCCCTGCCCCTAAGTGGTCAGGGTCCCTTCACTGCCCAAAGGAGAGGACACTCTATTTCCCATCCAGTGTAATGAGCACATTTTGAAAGCAATTACTCAATAAATCTTTATTTAAAGGGTGATAAATCAGGCCTGGGATTTAGCCCAGTGGTTCTGTCGCCTGCCTTGCAAGCGCAAGGACCTGAGTTCGATCCCTGGTACCAAAAAAAAAGGGTAATAAATCCACCTGAAAGGCCAGGGGCTTTGATTTGGGGGAGGTCCTTTGTACCTTCGTGGGCTCTGAGCCCACTCTGCTCCCCTCCTCTGCTGGGAGAGGCGCCAGTCCTGGACAAACCTCAGCGATTCAATCTCCAAAGGTTTGGGAGTGAGAGAGGAGGAGAGCACAGGGTGGGGAGAGCAGAGGAATACCCCGGGTTCCTAGGCTGGAATTCCTCCGGGAGTGCCCATTTGAAGAGGTGCCCCTGGAAAGGCACACCTTCGCCCCTTCCTCTGATTTTCTATTATTGTATTTTTCTCTTTTAGGAAGGAGTGCTCCTCTAAGTGCCTAGATCTGAATAGGAAGGAGAGGAAAACTGAGTTGTTTTCTTGCTTGGAGTTTTTATTTTCCCCAGAAAATAAAATGTTTTGCATGGGATTCCAGGTCTTTAAACAATGGCGGCAGCCCAGCCGGGCTTCGCCGAGGCCCGCTCTGCTCTTCAGGTGGGGCCTCCTGCTCCTTTCTTCTCGCTACTCCCCGAACCTCTGCCTCCTCTCCAATTTCCTCTTCCTCCCATCCTCTTCTTCCTTCCTTTTTTCTTGCTCTTTTTCCTGCCCCTTCACACCGGCTTTTCCCTCCTCCCCTCCCTCCTACTCATACTTTCTCCAATTCTTCTTTCCCCCTTATTTCTTCTCATTTTTTCCCTCCCTTTCTCCCTCTTCTTTGTCTCCTCCCTTTCATTTTCCTCTTTTTTCTCAGGGTGGTCCTGGGAGCCTTTTACGTCTGAAGGTTCTGGAAATAAAGACCAGGAAAGC